CGCTACATCTGTCATAATCAACTTGACACTGCTCTCTGTCTGCTAACAGGTGGCAGTGAGTTTTTATGGGTAATGTTGACCATCTTTTCATGGGATTTTTGGATATTTAAATGTCTTCTGGCTTATTCCTACCCTCTGCCCATTTTTTGATTGGTTTTTTTGGTTTTGGGTTTGTTTGTTTGTTTTGTCAGAATTTTCAAAATAAATCGTGAATTTCTTTTCCTTGCAGGCAGTACATGAATCGAAAAGGTGGATTTAACAGGCCTTTGGACTTCATTGCATAAGAATTGGAATGTTGAAGAATGTCTTCTCTCATCTTGGTCAAGAGTGGATTTTATAGTTTGTATTTAATATGCATCCAAACAGAATCTCAGTTCTTCCTGCGTATAAAGTAAGAAAATTTTATTTATGAATTGTGGAGTTCATTTACTCTGCCTCAAAAGAAGAAAAGTTGAATATTACATTTTTTCTCTTTTCGGAATTATTTGAGGTAATCATCAACTCCGTTTTGTTTGTTCTTTTTTCCCGTGGAAGCTATATTAGTTTTCTTCTTTGAATACTTGTTAGGACTTTTTGAAAAGCATAAAGTAATTGGATGGCAGTTTCCCCAATAAAGCAATATTTCTACCCTTTTGTAATTGACATATATACATACTTATTTATTACTGGTTAAAAAAATCTCCCTAGACATTTTGGTTTTTCATGCATAGATTTAAATATATTGATTCTTAGTTTAAAAATTGGAAGAATGAGAAGTGTAATTTTGGATCTTTATATCTTTTGTGTTTTGCTATTCCCCCCTAACCCTCAATACCATTGGTTATTCTCTTCCCAACCATACAAGGGACACACGCAGACACTCAGGAGAAACCAAGAAGAAAAAAAAGGCCCCAATCACCCATCATCTCGCATCCCATCAACACTATGTGTTAAACGTTTCGTGGGTTTTTCCAGGTGTGTGTGTGTGTGTGTGTGTTGTCCCCAACTATGAGATCAGTATTTTATATACTATTCTTTTTCTCTAATCGTCCCCACCCCAATTTCGTGTGAACTCTTTTTTTTGTCTATCTTAGTGAACGATCCGTGTGCACGGGAGGAGAATATACACCGTGCTGATTGGGGTGGAATGTTCTATAAATGACTGTTATATTGAGCTGACTTTCATTTGGGTCCTGTTTCCCTATTGATCCTCTTTTCAGATGTCTGTCTAATACTAAAAATGGTGTATTGAAGCCTCCAACTGTTACTATAGTGCTGTCCCCCCCCCCCCCAATTCTGTCAGTGCTTGCTATTTATAGATTTAGGTCCTCCAGTGTTGGATGCATATTGATTACCTTGATGGACTGGCCCTCCTGTCACTATATATAATATCCACATCTGTCTCTTCTGACAAATTTTGTTTTGAAGTCTCCTTTCTTTGTTATTAAGATTCCTATCCCAGATCTCTGAGTTACTATTTGCATGGATTTTTTTTCATTCTACTTTCAACCTCTGTGTATTTGGGTCTAAGGTATGTCTCTTGTGTTTAGCATCTATGTGGATCACCCTCTCATATTCTTAAATATCTTCTTGAAATATAACTCGTTTCATTTTTTCATTGTGTCAAGTACATTTGTACATTTGTCGCCATCATCATTTTCTTTTTTTGTTTTAATCATTTTATTAGGGGCTCATACAACTCTT